ATGCTCAGGAAAAATGAAGCTGTTTTGATCATTAAATAAATGCATAATTAACGTGATGGGTCAGCAGTGATGATGCATAATAAATGCGACTTATACGCCAAAACAACTTCTATATGATTTTTTCCTCTTCACGATGCTGTTTTTGACTGATGCGACTTCTACTCCGGAGCGACTTATACGCCGGAAAATACGGTAGTTTCATCCTGACCAGAACGATGAGCTACTGGCTAGTCAGAGCGTGGCCAAGACTGTGCTAGACTGCTGCTGTTTGAACGAAACTCCAGTATCAAAACTTTAAGATTTTTATTTTATAACAATATTATTTGGTTATCTGTACACACACACGTCAACAGCAGCAGCTACTGTAGCTGCAAGAGTTCAAAAGTTTTATTAGCATCATTCCAGAACATGACATGCATGAGGAGGAACAAAACACTTCCTGAGATCTGGTTATGTCACATGCACGTATCGCTTCTCGTAAAGCCTGAGGCTCTGTTGGCAAGAAAGTTACACGTCTCAGCTCATTTCGTAAATGTTTGCCTTACAGATTGGTGGAGGCCACAACATTAACGCTGTGGTGGCCAAGGTTGCTGCAGGGACCATAGAGGAGTCCCGCCAGCTGCGGGTCCAAGCGTTCAACGAGTACAGGAAGCGTTTTAACCTGGAGCCCTACAAGTCGTTCAGAGAGTTCGCCGGTGAGACAGATGGCTGAGTGTGCAGCCCACACAACTAGAAGTGCAAAAATATTTATAGGTTTTTACAACTCTGTGAGAACTGCCAAACATTCTTCACGTAAAAGAATTTAAAACATTCCTCCACTGCTCTTATATGTTTTTATTGTCACTAATGGTTGCAAAAAAACAAATTTCTAATAAATTTTGCCTCAAATTGCTTTAAATTATTTTGCAAGATCAACCCTTCCTCTTTTAGTAATAATACTGTTGCAAGGAGTCAGTGTTTCTGGCTCTGTGTTCTCTGTTTCCCAGCAGCTTTTTGTGTAAGAAGCCAACATATGTGCACTTAGAGCAAAAACATTACATTAAGTGAAGGAGAAAGTTCAGCTCGCTGCTGAACGCTTCATTACCATTGTGGTTTAGAAGCAAAATAAACCTGGATTAAACCTTGTTTTTAACATTTTTTCAACAAGTTAGAGAAAAGGCCTTTGCTCAAGTTAAGTTGGTCTGCAGGAAGGAAAAGTTTGACTACAAAATATGATTTCTGGTATTTGGTTGTCCTCAGTAATGAGGGCGTTGCTTCGGTTGTCGCGGTGAAGAAAGAGTTGACTTAAAAGGCAGAGCTCTCGATTTACTGGGCTGTCTACATTCCAACCTTCACCTAAGGTCATGATGTTTGGATCATGACCAAAAGAACAAGATCCCAGATCTTGCAGCCAAAAAGATCTTCCTTTGCAAGGTGGCCTGGCTGAGCTCCGTCATCTGGGGGGAGCTCGGAGTAGAGCCGCCGCTCCTCTGCATCGAAAGGAGTCAGTTGAGGTGGTTCAAGCATCTGATTAGGATGCCTCCAGTTTTGCCTGCAAAACTTAATAACAAAAATATGTTTAGTTAAGTTAATAAAAAAAGAGGATTTAAGAGAAAGACCAAATGCCCATCCAGGCTTGTTTACATGTGAATCAAGTTTACAGGTTTCCTTCTCATAAAAATAAAAAGATTCCACCTGAAAGGGAGAAAAAATAAAAGTTAATTGTATTTCAACCGGTTCATCTTCTGTTATGGGTAGCCTTGGAAAAAAACAGTGTGAATGCTGAATCAGCATCCACACAATTAGGAAGAGTTATTAACTGAGTTGCCAATTTTTTTTGTTATGATAAAATCATCTGTTTTTGCAGATAACGAGGAGATAGCCAGCACGCTTGAAGAGCTCTACGGTGACATCGACGCTCTTGAATTTTATCCTGGATTATTGCTGGAGAAAACACGACCGGGGGCCGTATTTGGAGAAAGCATGGTGGAAATGGGCGCCCCCTTTTCCCTCAGGGGCCTCATGGGGAATCCCATCTGTTCTCCAGATTACTGGAAGCCCAGCACGTTTGGAGGCAAAGTCGGCTTTGACATCGTAAACTCTGCCACCTTAAAGAAACTGGTCTGTCTAAACACCAGGACGTGTCCTTACGTGTCATTCAGAGTTCCTGCAGAGGAAAAATTAGGAAAGAATGATGGGAAAGTCCACTCTGATGAGCTATGACCATGAGCACACCCATGCTTAGGCTTTCTACATTTTATATGAAGGTAAAAAGAGGGGCTGCAAAAAGCATACTAAGGTATTTGTGAGGACACCAGTGTTTCAGATTAGTCAGAGCTCTGCGCAAACTTTCCTTTTTCTTTCAATCCTGCAGTCTGTCACACTTGAACAAACACAGTGAGGAGTCAAACATATGAGTTCTGTTAAAGTCTTTGTCCTTAAAGACAGAAAAGCTGTTACAGTTCACACTTTAATGAAATATTATGTGATCAGCTGTCTTTGGATAGTTTAAACATTCACTGGAATAAAACAGTATTGTTATAAAGTGTAAATGTGTTGTTATTGTTAGTTTAAAATGGCCAGTTGTGTTTCCACTGTTCTGTATGTCTCACTGGTGCCTGCCACTGTCTTTCAGTCTATTGTTTCTTTTGGCTTTCAACTGAATATTGACGGGAACAGAGGAGACTCGCCCAGAACTTTAGGAAGTGTTGACTTTTTTTTTTTTTCATGATTTGGGTCAAATAAAAGTAAAACAGCAAAGCATTTATAACCTGGAGCTTTTCATACGGTAAAGATATGGGATAATAAATATCCAAAGAAAACTCTTTAAACCAATAGCATATTTTGACAAGGTCTGGGACTATGACCTTCGCTTCCTTTGACCCCCCCCCCCCCCACACACACACACACACACACACACACTTTGTGAAAATATTATTTTGTAAAAAGTGATAGAATTAAATCCAAATTTGGTTCTGATCACAACTTTTGCAGCAACACATGAAGCATAATTTACTGTCATACTGCCCTCTAGTGGAAATTGTACTAGGGTGCAACGTCACCGGAGTTGCCTTCATGACTCCTAGTAAAATCCTTAATTTCACTCAAGTGATCAATTGACTCCACTTTTATTCTGTCTTGTACATAGCAATTATATATATATATATATATATATATATATATATATATATATATATAT